CCAACCCACTACAGCCAACATTCACCTCCATCCGGTACTTCCAGGCCAGTTCACCTGAGATGAGTTAGCTGGCTGCCCCATTCTGTCCCTTGGAATATATTTTTAGAACATTTTTCATGAGGAACACATCTGTCAGCTCTTTATAGATCAGTTACAAAACAGAAACTCTTCCTCATTGCTAGGGAGAAGTGTAGAAGGGGTGGGGGAAGGGAAAAGAAGAAAACTCTTGCCTGTAATTGAAGGCAGGTTGGGAGATGTTCACGCTTTGAAATGCTCCTTCTTGTGAAATGTTTATGAAACACTTTCCACAAACGAGTTATGCAACTAGGACAACAGCTTTGATCATTTTCATCACTAGTGATATATTCATTAGTGTTGGATTGTTTTCCCCCCAGAAAGGGTCATGTGAAAATGTCCTAGGGAGGGGGCTAAGGAAAAGTACTCCAGCCCTATCATGTGTTATTCCAAGACTCCAAAACTCATGGTCAGGGCTAGGCATGGTAGAACATGACTATCATCTGAGGCTGAGGCAGGAGGATTGCAAGTTCAATGCCAGCCGAGGCAATGTGATGAGAACCCATCTCAAAAATAAGTTGTAGAAAGGCCTGGAGGTGTAGCCCAGTGGTAGAGCAACTGCTTAGCATGCACAAGGCTCTGGGGTCAATCCTTAGCACAAAGGAACAAGGACAAAATCCTGATGACCAGCAGCAAGTTCAAAGTATACATTTTGGGCTGGAATATTTTCCTTCTCCATTGCTTGTGGATTCTCTCCGCTGTATCTGGGACATCTGTGGTATTCTTCTGTGAGATGGGAAGATGAGCTTGCATCCTCACCATCTGAGATGGGAGGTAGAGCCCCGCCACAATGTAAAGGGCTTCCAGCGCCTCAGCAGGGGCTTCCTCCTCTCAGAATAAGGCCTCTATTCTTTTGCAAACTAAAGTCAGAGAGTTCAGTTGGAATAGAAAGGATAAACACCAACGATACATTTTTACCTCCCTGGTCACTACCCAAGACTCAGTGTAATACCTTTGCACAGCGCAGTGGGCGGAGAAGATCCTAAACTCAGAAGCCTTGTCGGATAGGTGAGCTAGAGCTCCGTGGCATAGGGCAGAGCACAGTATTGGCCCCTGTCCCCAAGCACTAGCCATCCCAAGCACAGCCTGGAGAAATTCCCTGCTGTCGTGAGAACCGCCAGGGGACCCTGGGCGCAGTGGTTCCTGGCTGGCTGTGGATTTGGTTGAGTTTTCACAAGTATGGGGGAAATTGGGTCTTAGTCCAATTTGCCTGCGGTTCTCACCTTAGAAGTCAATGGGATCCAACAGAAGCATCTCTATCTCATCTGCCAGACCCACAGCCAACGCCTAGTTGTCTGGAAAGATTCCAGCCTTTTCCACTCGACAGCTGTGAAAAGGGGTGTTTTTGAATTAGGGAGAACTTATTTCATAGCTTCTAAGTTTCTTAGCTCCTGAGACGATCTAAGAAGTATGCTAGTCAGTAGGAGTCAACCTCACCTCCCTTTTTCTCCTCTTGCCCTTTCTGGGATCTGCTGACCAAAGCAGAGATTTCACTGTATTTGGCTGATTGATTTTGTAGTGCTGGGAATGGAACCCAGGGCCTCACACATGGTAGGCAAGTGTCCTATTACTGAGGTCACCCTAGCCCGACAAAGCTGAGCTGAAGCTGTCATCAGAAAGAGCTCTCTCAGGGCAGGGCAGATGGCTCAGTAGAATAAGCACTTGCCTGGCCAGTGCAAGGACCTGAGTTCAATCCCCGGTTCTGCCAAAAAAAAAAAAAAAAAACTCTCTTGGTTGTCTTTTGATTTGGCTTGCTTACGGGTGTCTTCTTTTGGGGTTACTGTCTGTACTTCACACACAGGGATGGGGAATTAGGAAAAATGAGAGCAATAGGTTACTCTCACTTATCTCAATAGGTTGAAGAAGCCAGATATAAAAAAAGAAGAGTAATACTTAGAGTTGTCAGAAAGTCCCAGACTGCACCCAAAGGACTTTTCCACTAGCAGGCCTTTCATTTTCAGCACAGAGAGATCGAGAGTGTCCCCCAGAAGGGTTTGGAGGCAATTGATCCAGGAAGCAGATGAAAGGGTGAGTTTTCTTTTATGATGGCACTGGTTTCTGAAATTAAGTGTTGCAGGAAGACCTGGCACTGATTCTAACAGATAGCACACGGGTTGGAGGCAAAGCAAATGTTTTCAAGATCTGTCATGGCTGCACCTCCTTATCTCTCCATTGTGCATAATGAGTCTGGAGGGAACCCGCCACTTGCCTTGGCACTGGAGCTGTGCCAAGCAGTCCGAGATGGCTTTGCCAGCAGAAGCTCACCTCTGGGTGTCCATGTTTTCCTCTTCCCCCTTCCTTCCTAGTCCCCTTCTGGGATGGGCGTGCCCTAGGGCCAGAGGGGACCGCGCGGGAGGAGAGCTGACAATGGGAGCCTGGCCGAGAGGACTGGGCCTAAAGAGGGTCTCCTCTCAGAGTAAATCTTGAAGTTTATTGTGGTGGTTTATTCGAAATAAGTTCATCTATTTCTAGTTTTTAAAAACCTGCTAACAAATGCTTGCGCAGAAGGTAGGACGTGAATGTTGATTCCTGGGCACAGAGGTCAGGCACTAACACCCCTCGAAGGCACAAAGCATGATGGGCAGAGTTAATAGTAGTCTGGGGAAGGGGTTCCCTGGGACCACCCAAGTGCCATGGGTTTACAGTTTTCAGAAAGTTACTCTCTGTCCCCATGATGCTGCTGACACTGCTCTTACCCCTCCTTAAGTGAAGACAATGATTTGTAGAACCCATGCCTGAAAGAGCCACCTCTTACCAAGTTCTGTGCACCAAGGGCTTCAGTGTTTTTGTTTTTGTTTTTGTTTTTGTTTTTTGTGGCACCGGGGATTGAAATCAGACCCTTGCGCTTGCCAGGGAAGTGCTTATTCCACTGAGCCATCTCCCCGGCCCCCTCAATGTTCCCTTAGAGCTCCTTGGAGAGCTCTCAGACACTACAATGTCCTGGTCCAGCTACATCTGCCAAGTGCACAAGGGATTCGAGCTGGTCATTCTGTGTTATGATTGAAAAGGAGAAAAACCATGTAGATCCTACAGCAGGTGGGGAAACCAGGTCCCATAAAGGCTGAAAGTTTGCTCGAGTTTGCATAGTAAGGGTCAGAGTTAGAACTGTAAGATTAGCAATGGCCCCTGTGCTGCATTTTCCTCACTGTACCTTCTCAGAGGCTCTGCAGAGGTGGGTTTATTTGTCTTTTATTCAGTTGACATTCCTTCGCTTCCCACTGTGTGCAGGGTACCTTAAGTAGCTCCCGCTGCAGTAAGTCACCAGTGTCATTCAGTAGGATCTTCCTGTCAGACCAAAGGGAATCCTTTCTGTAGTGATCAATGCACCTTTTTCCACAGGGACTAAGCACAATCTGCTAGTCTCAACTTTTAATTGGGTTAAGCAAACACCTGCAGGAATGGGTCACAAATGTCGGTGATATCCTCAGTGTAGACAAAGACAGTGGTTTGAGCCAGAATCTCTATTGCATGAATTTCCATCTAGATAGGAAACAATCAGATGTCCTATTCAGAGGGTCTTCCCAGTGTCTCTTAGAAAGTGTGGTCTCGAGTCTTTGCCCCTTACCATAGAATAAAAATGAGAGTCACTAGGCTCCCTTCCCAGTAGAGCTTCCTGAAAAGCTGCAAAAGGCGTTTGTCCTGGGGTGGGGGAGGGAGAGCACAGCAGTACTTCCTGCCCTGCCCATGGACACCTGGAAAGCCCACGAGTGGGTGGTTCATGTGTCACTGAAGGATGGTAGAGACTACAGGGAATTGGAAAGCACCACAGGCCCCTCAGGCTGCAACTGCAGAAGACATGTCACTGCCTGCAAGGGAGATAGGCAGATACTGTCCTCCAAGCCACACAGGCTCAGAGGGCCACGGGAGAGGCAGCTCAGCACAGAGATGGTGGAGGGCAAGTGGCGATGGGGGGGCCAAGGAGTCCTCCAGATCGGAGGGTCACAGGTGTGGGGGTTTCATGGATGGGTATCCATGTAGGAAAATTTAAAACAACAACAACAACAAAAAAAACAGACTTTGCAGAAGATCAATAAAAGGCTGCTTTTAAAAACAAAACCAAAAACAAAAAAACAAAACAAAACAAAAAAAACCCTCTTTTAGTTGGGGACTTTAAAAGTACCATTCAGGATTACCATCATTCCATAAAAGAAATTCTAACATTGCTTCCCATTTTAAAAAAGGGGAAAAAAAACAAACAAAAAGAAAGACAACCAGAATTTCATTCATTAAGCTTTGTCTCAGCTACTCTTCTCTCATTGCTGGGACAAATACCCAACACCTCAAATGAAGGAAGGACAGTTTATTTAGCTCACAGTTACTGGAGGTTTCTGTGCATACTTGGCAGGCTCCACGGCAGAGCGGCACAGGGCAGAGAGCATCCAGTTCATGGCGGCGGAACAACAACAACGGCAGCAGAGAGTCTGTCTCTCTGTCTCTCTTATGTTACATTCAGGCTATCCAATCCAGGCTGGGTGTAGCACTCACTCCCATAATCCCAGCAATACTCAAAACCATAATCCCAGACTTGAATCACCCATAATCCCAGCGGATCATGGGTTAATTTCAAACTCTACAAGTCCCTGCCTCATGACTGCATGAGACTTTGGGGGGACAATTAGACACCATAACAAGCTTAATTCTTCAAACTCACTATAATATCCTAATTCTTCTCTTTTTTAGTGAGTAAGAGCATTATCCACATTAGGCTCCCCATCTTCCAGGTTGGCCATCAGAGTCCAGTTGGTGCGCTGGCCAGCAGCCGGGATGAGAGGCACACTCTGACAGGGAGAGCATGCTGCAGCCGGGGCACTGGGCTGGCTGCTCCTTGGCTTGTCTCGAGTTTCCTGCCTTGGTCTCCACATTTCTACTTCTGTCAGGCCAGAGAGGCCCAGAACTGACTCTCCCTGACCTCCCTTCACTTGCAGATAAAAACAGAGGACCTCAGCGACTCCTTGCAGCAGACACTGTCCCACCGGCCATGTCACCTGAGCCAAGGACCTGCCATGATGTCCGGAAACCAAATGTCTGGGGTAAGCGGCATCCATGCCAGAGAACCCTGGTACGCTCAGTGAGCCAGTGAATTTAATTCAGCCCTTCTGAAAAATACTAGGTCTCCATGCTTGGCACCTGAGAATCAACACAGATAGAAAGAACGCCCTAGGGTTGGGAGTATAGCTCAGAGATAGAGAGCTTGTCTATCTAGCACATGTAAGGTCATGGGTTCGATTCCTGGTACTGGAAGAAAAATAAAAGGAAGAAAGAAAAATAATCCCTTATAGGCAATGGGAGAAAGGTCTAGGAGCTCTGAGTGGGGTGGGGTAGGGTTCTAAAGTAGTCCCTGTAATAAGGATGCCCAGCCAGGAATATACAGGCAGTTTTCTCTATGAAAGTAAAAGGAGCCAGTCTTGCCAAAGTGAAGGACAGCAGCCACGCTGTTGCTGTCTGCTGGGCCACTTTCAGGGCATTGATCCTGTGGCAACTCCTACAATTACAAAAGATTTCTGTCCAGAGTGGGCCTGCTCTGCCTCCTCCAAGATTGTATGTTAAAGCCAAAGTAGAGTGGACTGCTGCTGTGGGAAGGCAGACATGCTGTGACAACAGTGGCAAACCAGGGCTGGGGAGATAGCTCAGTGGCATAAGTGCCTGTCTGGCAAGCACAAGGTCCTGAGTTTGATCCCCGGTACCGGAAAACAAAACAAAACACAGTAATGGCAGCGTTTCAGCCTGTACTCTTATAGTTCACGTCTCTTTAGTGGGTCACCTGGGGAAGAAAAGAGCACCCTTCTTCTACAAGCACTTATGAACAGAATATGTAGTGAGTCCTTCATTCTTCCATTCAGCAAGGTTTCTCCAGTTGCCCCCTGTGCAGTCCTACGCTCAGCCACGGGGCATGGAGCCCCGTGTGTCAGGACCACAGAGGACTTCTGGGACCTTAAATATTGGAATCACTATTTCTGAGACCTGACCTGGTGAAACTAACCCAGGGGAAATGGAATTTTTCTTTAACCAAGAAAAATTTTTCTTTAACTGAATTTATGAAGAATTAATAGTTTGGTCCATCCCCTACTTCCTACTATAATACCCTCCTGCAAGACTCAGACACAGTGACCAAAGCGTGACTTTTACAGTCATTAGTTGACAAAAGATGAAGGAAAATGAGAAACTAAAGGACCATTGGGATTGCAAGCTCTTTTCTAGGATAAATATTTAAGATGTGGGTATTTCCCATGCTCAGTGGTCAGGGCATTTACAGTTAGGAGATGGGATGAGATTGACACTAAGAAAATAAATCATGATGCCAGAGTTGAGTAATAGATATTGCACGGACCACTTGGCAGAGTACAGAAGCTATAATAACAGCAGCTACTATGTGCCACACTCTGAGGACACACAGAGGTCCAAGGTCACTGCCTGCAAACTCCCAGCATCTGGACTGCCACAGGCTCAATGGGCTGCAGGCTGAGGGACAGGGATCCCCAGCTTGTAGCTAGTCTGACATCCGTGCATCTCTCCACGTGCAGGACATGGCTTCTCTCCATCCACTGCAGCAGCTTGTGCTCGTCCCTGGTCACTTGCAGTCAGTGTCCCAGTTCCTGCTTTCTCAGACCCAGCCTGGGCAGCAAGGTAAGAACACAGCGGTCACTGTTGGTTGGGTGTGGAGCACAGAGAGGCCACCTAGGGCTGAGGAAGGACTCCTAACAGTGTCCCTCTAGGCTTAATGTCCTGCCGAGCCTCCTACTGGGGCTGCTCCACCTCCTAAAAGTCATGGAGGGGGGAGGCTGAAGGGGCTGAAGGGCTGGGGGGGGGCAAGAAGAGACAAGCAGACAGCCCCAGTCCTTTGGGGTCACTGCTTCCCAGATTTGCTCGTACTTGGGTGGAGCAGCACTGCCTCCCACAGGCTGCGTGAGGGTTTTCGCATTGTCTGGCAGGAAAGTTTTTCCTAGGGACCTTCCTCCCTGGCCAAGAGCAAGCATCAAACTATTCACAACAAAATGATGGAGGAAGTGTAAATTCTCAGAAGGGTACAGATCCCAGGTAGAGGCTCCAGAAATCCATCATCCAAAAAATACGTCCCTCTTCCTTCTGCCTCGGCACCTGTCCTTAGTTTCCAGGGCATCTCGGCATATTATTAGGGCGAGTGGGAACATATCTGACTCCATAAGTATTTATTTCAGCTGAACAGTATACATCATACTCTTGAAATAGGAAAGGGAATAAAACAGTTAATTCAGTTTGTTTTCACAACACTGCAGAGTGATCTTAAAATTGCCTGCCACATAGCACATGAGCTCAGAATATGCTGTAGGATGAAAGAACATTTAAAACTTGGAAAGAAAAAATCTCATTGATTTTTAGTTATTTTTTATGTATTTGGTACAGGGTCTCACTATGCAGCTTGGCCTCGTAGTGATCCTCCTGTTTTCAGCCTCAGCGCTGGGATTACAGGCATGCGCCATCACACCCAGTTTCTGGCTGGCTCAGCGCACCAGGGGGCGGGGCCAGCACAGTCTGTGGTGCTGGGAATCAAACCCCGGTCCCAGCGCTTGCCTAAGCAGGCTCTTAGTCCACTGAGTTATCTTTGCTGGCCCTCAGACTGAAGTTTAAATATTTCATGATTTCTTTCTTTCTTTCTTTCTTTTTTTTTTTTCATGGTTTCTTATATATGGGAAACTCAAAACTATAAATCAAGAGTAAAACAAGAGATAGCAAGAAGTACAGAGATAGATTTTGTTCAAGTAGGAAGGAGATCAAGAGATGGAGGGAGGAGAAGAGGGGGAAGGAGATTTAAAAAAAGAAAAAAAAGGGGCCAGGGAGATGGCTCAGTGGAATAAGCGCTTCCCTGGCAAGCACAAGGCCCTGAGTTCAATCCCTGGTTCCAAAAAAAAAAAAAAGACAGGAAAGAAAAAAAGATGTGTTAGGTACATGTACCAGCTCCCCACAAACATGAACTAATAAAAATTGAAAAATTAAAAAAGGGATAAGGATAGAGTCATGCCTTATAAAATACTGATATAATTGAAAAGACTTCATTCATTTCAAAATTCAATATAAATGTTAGGATTGCTCCTAGTACACAAGCCTCCAGAGTCCAAGGCCAGGGCTCCTTAGGAGTTTCTTACCTATTTATTTTAACAAGGAACAAGTGTGCCCTGACTTTTTGAGACTGAAGAGCAAAAGGTCAACCTCAGCAGACGCTGGACACTAGTGGCACCTAAAGACAACATAGACACCTCGGCATGCTTCTGTGGTCTGGGCCATTGGGGTGCCCTGCTTTGGTGCTTTGATCATTGTGGAAGTGAGAGGTCTCAGCCCTGGCCTCTTATGAGGGGAGACACCTGTCATGGCCACTGACCAGGGAGAGCCCGCCACAGGCAGTTTTCTTAGACTGGGAAAGAAGGGAGGTCCCCAGGCTGTGTTTCAAGGTAGTATAGTCTGCTCTGCCTATGGGAGTGCCCAGACTCTCAGCCGTTCCTCCCAAGTGTACAGTGCCCTGGTCACCAGGAGCCTGTGACCAGCAGCCCCATGCCCTTCAGAGCCTACTTGCTCCCACATGTTGCAGATTCCACTGCGCTTCTGTGGCCCTCCCAGGTACTTCCCTCCTGGAAGTACTGAAATCCTCAGCCCCCACAGGGTTCTCAGTAGCCGTCCCCACCTCCCTTCCCCTCTGGGTTCCTCAGCCCCGCCAGGCAGATCCCAGCTAGATTGTCTTGACCTTTCTTAGCCTCTGCACCTCTCCAGGCAAGCGTGCAAGCAGAAGGACTGGTTCGGGGATTGCTGTTTACCCTTCTGTTTGTCCCTGTGCCTGGTCTGGTTTGCCTCCACCTGTGTGGCAGTGCCTGGCCATGCCTGTGGGGGCTTCTCCACTGGGCCTGAGGTGGGTTGTGGGACCTGATTTGGTAGTAGAGGGTGGAGACAGTTCTCATGGTTCCAAGGTTGAGCTTGTCTTTCCGATGGCCCACATTTCGTTTGTTTTTTTCGTTTCCCTTCCCCTTTCACCCAGGTCTGCAGCCGAATCTCCTCCCCTTTCCGCAGCAACAAAGCAGCCTCCTCCTCCCACAGACGGGGCCTGGCCTGGCATCCCAGGTAAATACCACATCCTTCAGGTTCCCTCTAGGAATCTCTCAGCTCAAGGCAGAGTGCAGCTCCTTGGGGTTCTCCTGCCCCTCTAGCAGGGTGCTGATCCCTCTGGGAAGAGCGACCAGCCAGGAACTGGTGGCACAGGGGAAATCCAAATGACAGCCAGGAGGGAGATGGATCCAGTATCATTAGGGGGGCAAGAGTGAGAACCCAGGCCAGGTGCGGGGGTGCACACTCCAAATCCCAGCATTCCCAAAGGGTAAGGCAGGAGGACTGCGAGGTGGAGAGTAGCCTAGGCAATGTAGAGACTTAGCAAGACCCTGTCTCTAAATGAAAAGTAATGGGGCTGGAGAGATGGCTCAGTGGTCTAAAGCACCTACTTGAAACAAGCTTGGCAAAGCACAGGGACCTCGGTTCGATCCTCCAGCACCACATGCCAGCCATCCCGCCCCCTGGTGGGCTGAGCTGGACACACACACACACACACACACACACACAATAAATAAATGTAATAAATAAAAATAAATAAATATTAAAAAAACAAGAATTTAAAAATAAAAATAAAAATAAATGAAAAGTAAAAGTGCTGGAGATCTAGCTCACAGCAAATCCTCAATTCTGTCCAAAAGAAAAAAAAAAAAGATTAAGATGACTTTTTTTTTTTTTTTTTTAATTTTATTTATTTATTTGTGTGTGTGTGGCCAGCTCAGCCCACCAGGGGGCGGGCTGGCTGGCATGTGGTGCTGGGGGATTGAACCGTGGTCCCTGGGCTTTGCTAAGCTTGTTCTAAGTAGGTGCTTTAGACCACTGAGCCATCTCACCAGCCCCTAAGATGACTTTTAAAAAGCCGAGGATGGGGGCCGGGGAGATAACTCAGTAGAAAAGTGCTTGCCTTGCAAGCACAGGATCCTGAGTTCAATCCCAGGTCCCACAAAAAAAAAAAAAAAAAAGCTGAGGGTGGTGGTACACGCCTCTGATCCCACCTTCTTTGAAGCTCAGGCTGAAGGGTCACAAATTTGAGCCTAACCTGGGCTACTTAGCAAGATCTTGCCTCAGAGTAAATTTTTTTTTTGTGGAACTGGTGATTGAACTCAGGCCCTCACGCTTGCCAGGGAAGCATTTATTCCAATGAGCCATCTCCCCGGCCCAATAAAGTAATTTTAAATGGCCTTCTCAGTGCAAAGGCTCTGAATTCAATCCCTAGTATCACACACACATAGAAGTACCCAGAGACTCCAGCTCCCAGGCCAGCTTGCAGCTATCCTGCGCCAACGACCTGGGGCTCATCCAGCCTCCCAGGATGCATGGGGGCCACCCACTTTCCTAGGTGCTCTTAAGCCCCCCAAGAGGGGTCAGAAGAGGAGAGATACCAGATTGCGATGGGCTTGCTGTCTCGTGCCACAGCAGCATCTGCCACATGTCCCACTGCAAGGCCACCATTCTAGACTATCTCCAGCATTGGGCAGTGTGAGTTACCCTGACTGAGGGCGGGAAGAGGAGCCATTTACAGAGCTGCCATGGTTCCATAATAGCAGCTGTTTGTCATTTTTTTTAAAAAGGAGAGACACACCTCTTACTCTGGCTGCCGCTCCTCACCTTGTCTTGTGCGCCCATGAAGTTAATAACCTGCACAGCTTCGTGACTTGGCCCTGCACAGAAACGACTGAAGGCACCGGAAACTGTGCTTCTGGGCTGACAGCAATTCCCCCCCCTGCTCCCTCCCCTGCTCCCCGCCCCCGCTCCTGCCCCAGTAAAGGCCTTGGTTTTTCCAGGCGCCTAGAGGCCCGAGAAGACACCTGAAAGGGGGAGGCGCCACCTGCTGGTTAAAGAAGCAGGGACACTGCAGTTGAGTTGCCCTTCTCTGGGCCTGAGTCTGATCCTGAGAGCAGATCGGGAAGAGGTCCCACCGGGTGTTCTAGATGATCTCTTGGCATAAAGAGACTAATAAGGAGACAGGCCATTTAGAAGATTATTGAGATCGTCTAGCAGGGCACAGTGGCATATGCCCGTAGTCTCGGTGGCTCAGGGGGGTTGAGTTTGGACATCCCTTGAGCCCGGGAGATCAGAGCCAGCCTGGCACAGCCCTGAAGCCCTGCCTCAAAAGAAAAATCCTAAGCAGGAGCAGGAATGCGTTGGCTTAGAGTCATCGCAATAAGAGTGGAGAGAGAACAAAATGATAGTGTGAGAAATCTGATCGATACAGTTTGGCAACTGATCAGTCATGAAGGGGAGAGGGGAAAGGTCTTGCAGGTAACTCAGTATTTGTAAGTGGCAGAACAAGTGAATTCGTAAAAAAGGATGATCAAGAAAGACTGAGACCTAGTCTTAAGTCTGGTCTATGCTACCGCCTCCCCCACGTGCTTGGTCCCTGTAAATCAGGACCTGCTCATAATGGTTTTAAGCCATCCTTTTCTGATAGCCTCTTTTTTTTT